TCTCTCTCTCTCTCTCTCTCTCTCTCTCTCTCTCTCTTGTGTTAGCTCTTAGTCTCATTGATTTTGCTACCTTAGGGCTGCGTTCCCCGCGCCCACGAGGTAGACAATAGCTACAGAGCCTCATTCAGTTGGGCCTCCCAACCGTCTGTGTATGAGGCTGCAAATCTCGCCCACCGCCTGTGCTTTCGGAAAAGCCTAGAAGGCCTGGGAACTTCCCACTCGGACTGTGTTTTCCATCAACAACTGGCACGACGAAACTGCCTAGACCCCAAATTGACAGCCGAGGGCCTCTCGTGATTTGTTAGGCCCGCCTTCACTTAGGGCGGGCACAGATGCAACAGTGGGGCCCTTAGGCCTGCCGAGGAATCCTCGCAAAAGGGACACAGCGGTCACTTCTATGTCTTTAAGGAACACTTCCGCCTCTCGTGATTTGTTAGGCCCGCCTTCACTCAGGGCGTGCACAGATGCAACAGGGGGCCCCTTAGGCCTGCCGAAGATCCGAATCCTCGCAAAAGGGACACAGCGGTCACTTCTATGTCTGCAAGGAACACCTCCGACCACCTCCTGCCAGGTCACTTCTATGTCTGCAAGGAACACTTCCGACCACCTCCTGCCAGCACGGGATTTCAAACGTGGGACGCATGGGTCCCACTTCTACGACAACAAATGCGACGCATACCTGGTAGGCCGCAAAGAACCTGTAGCGCAATCAAAATTGGACGATTGCGGCCCAGTTTTTTGCGTCGGCGGGAGTGGCCATTTAAATCATCCTGTCAGTGTCGGCAAAGACAGTATGTCCTGAGGAAAAGTTATAAATCCCCCTCGCTGAGGAATCTCTGTATTTGTTCGCCCTCAACCAGGGCAAAAGTGTGGCAGGCCCTGAAACAAACTTTCATGTCGATTCTGTACCCGCGCACAACTGGCGTTACCGGCCCAACCAGTGTGCAACGATGATGCGAAAGTTCGTGCCTCCCAAACTTTTCGCCCCGTTTGAGGGCGAACAAATACAAAGCTTTTGCATTGGGGAGGATTAAGTTTTCCCAAAAAAACAGGAAGCACCTTCGTTTCCCGTTACACATGAATCGGCCAGAGCAAATCTCTCTCTCTCTCTCTCTCTCTCTCTCTCTCTCTCTCTCTCTCTCTCTCTCTCTCTCTCTCTCTCTCTCTTCGCCCCCTCCAAACACACCACTAAAAAACTGAGAGGGCAGAGGAAATCTGCATTCCACAACCTTCGCTTATCAACGTGTACCCATATTTCCTCCATAAAACTGAGCGGGCCGATGTCAATC